ATACAATTGTCCCAACTTCGATTGGGGATATTTTTCTACGAAAAACTACACGAAAACAAGTTATTCAGGCTAAAATGAGATATACTAATTTTGCGAGCAACTTCGCTCGTATAAATTCCTATCTTCGTTCCTTTAATATATAAATTATTCTACTGGAATATTTTACAGGCGTGCTCATTTGCTCATATATACATAAAAAAAATTTGTCAGCTCCTTCGTACGTGTAGATTTTAGACGTAGGGGATAGAGGATAGGGGGATTGTTAGTAATGCGGACTACCAGTCCCATTCGACTTTCACGTGGTCCGTCCTGGAAACCATCCTGCTAAAATCCAAGTGTATTCTAAGTGTATTCGAAGTTCGAACTGACCTGCCTCTGCATTCACACCTATTAATCCCTAACTGGTGCCCCATCAGCGAATACCGTTAGCGCAGGCAAGGTTCTCCTAGATTCATTCCATTCATTTATTTCAACCTTGATGGACAATATAAATATATGTGCATTTGGTGGACTTACCACCGGATGGTGTTCCCTACAAGTTAACCATAAAAATGAAAGATTATCATTGTCTTATCCGTCGTTAACTATCCACTGCCGAAAATAGATTCGCCAGTAGTTGCCACGCTTAGCGAGCGTTTGGCAACTACGGTTAGGCTTTTGTGATGTTTTAATATATTATTGACGTTTTTACCTGAGGAGGCAGGCCTGGTGATCTAAGACACAGGCAGCTCGCAGTCCAGTTTAGACGCCAATCTCCCATAACTATGTGTAGTTTTATGTTAATGTTGCCAATTAATATGTAATATGATTGTGGTGGAAAATTAAAAATTATTATTATTATTAAGACGGTGCTGTCCATTCCTCGAATATTAAGTTCCCTTAGTTGCCTCTTACGACACCCGCGGAAAAGAAAGCTGTGGCCCATAATATGCCCGGACCACACGGCAACAAAAAACATACGAGATTTTAAGTCCGACCTTTAGTAATAGAATATTAAAAACCGTATCCAATTTGATGCAGTAATTCCTGCGTGATATCGAGACAAATGTACAGACAGATAGGCAGGCAAAGTTTTTAGAATTTAGTGAGAGTGACAGAGTGTATGGTACCACTCATGCGATACCATTCTTAAGAACTACTTATTTCCCCGTACCATGTAATTTCATTGCTATTTTCCACCCTTCAAATCGAAATACGAAACCTATAGAGATACCCAAGCGAACAAATTTTCTAAAAAGTCTCGCTCTAGTATTTTATTACATTAATGGGAATGGTAACAAAAAATATGCAACATTAAGGATTTATTCCTTAATAATACAATAATAATTGAAACATCTATTTTATATATTCTTTATTGCATTTGAAAAATAGATGCAGCGAACAGTTTAACAACTTTAACAACTATTATTATCAAGGGAGGGCTTATCTCTAAAAGAGATCTCTTCCAGCCAACCCAGTGTAGTTAGAGAGAAAATAATTAATTGGCGGGTAATCCAGTGCAGGAAACATACAGGTAAAAATAGTATAAATAAAACACACATACATAAATTGTAAATAAATACATAAATAAATAAGTAAGAAAGATATAAAAATACATAATAAAAATAAATAAATACATAAGTGCACAGTATTATCATGTATTATTAGTTAAAAGGTGAGATTTCAATCTTTCCTTGAAGGAAGTAATGGAGGGACTATCCTGAATGTTAGCAGGTAGTCTGTTCCACAGCTGCGCAGCACGAAATGAGAAGAAATATTTTTCTTTTTACGGAGCTAAAACTTAATGCTTAATAAGGACTTACAAAACTGTGTAGATTTACTAGACTTACTAGATTTTGAACTCTGAGACCAGCAGTTGGACGGTGATGATTAAATGTTACGAGTAGATATCATTGACTGAGATATTATCTTATTTGATAGACATATTATACGAACGATAATAACCACAATGCGGTCGTCGAATGCATAATACTATATTGTATTTTCAAATTTTCCAGATGATTATATGTGTGAAACTTTTGTGAGGTTCAAGTTACAGGAGCATAGCGTTTAATTATTCAAGTCGCAACTTGGACGACAATTGTTAATTGTTACTCATATCACATGTAAAACAGATTTTCTATATTCGAATGTTTTCATTCTCTAAAAAGAACAAGGACTTCAAATTGTAATAAAATTAGTATGGGACTAAGAAGGGAATGAACCTCTATCGTTAGCAAAAAGTATTATCAAAATCGATTCGTAACTGGCGACGATACGGTCTTCCGTTTTGAAGTTGCTTAAAACCTCAAGATTTTTGTTCGGAATTATGTATATGTAATTTATGATTTCAATCCAATGTAGCATTATCTTGGCATTGAATTTATATTTCCTTTAACTTAATAATAAAAACATCAGACTGTGTAATTCTGATTGAATTAGTTTCAATTTTAGATACTGTCAATTGCCAACAAACTTCTTTGCTTATACCCTGGATAGGAAAGATATTACAGTGTTATGTCCATCATTTGTTGGATTTTTGTGTAAATAAAATCATAACTTTTTAAATATGCATAATTCAGGGGGACAGGGATTGTTAATAATGAGATCCAAGAGACCTATTACTAGCAATATACCCTCTAACAGGTTGAACTCCATGTGGCTCCCCCTAGAAACTGTCGTGATTAGTTTTTGATGAATTTATCACGATGGGCCAACTGATCTGTTTCATTTTCACCTATCATCCCTCACTGGTGTCCCGCCAGCGTATCCCAATAGCGCAGGCGGGATTACCAATCCGTTTCCGTCGATTAAAAAAAAAATGCATAATTCTACCTATTATCCGCTGAGCTCTTATAATTCATCCCACAAGGGATCCCCCATTCCCTAGCATTACACGGTGCTCGACAGACCACCCATACGGGCCCATTGTCTTGCAGACAACCTTGACTCCCTCAAAGGTTTTATGTTAAAAACTGCTTTTGGTATGCGAGTGTTTTGAGATAATTAGCTGTCTTGTTCAATTTAATTAAACGATTAGAATAATTACATTTATTTTGAATTTAGAATTCATTCTTACAAAAGTAAAGAGTATTTAATTTGCTTAAAAATTGTTTTTAGTTTATTTATTTAGTGTGTATGTTAACGGAATACTTTCATAAATTTAAATTATTTCTGTTATTGAAATGGTTTACTGTTTTTAAAAATAATAAAAATATTTCCAACCGACTTCAAAAGGAGGTTCTTAATTCGATTGTATTTTTTTTTTGTTTGCCTCAACCTACCTCATAACTCTGTCAGTTCTAAACCGATTTGGTAAATTCTTTTTTTTTATCTGTAAGGATAAATGGTCGCTTCTAGCAGGTACTGGCCTGTTCAAGAATAATGTGATTGACTATAGTTTTATTCGAAAGGATATACTTTTAAATAGGTCCCATAGAAATTTTATCAAAATCAGTTCAGAAATTCAGTTTTTAAATAAAAATAACTTGTCACGATTTAAGTCAGTGTTTAATTTTTTATAGAGCAAAATCTATAAAAAATTAAAAAAAAATATTCGATAAGATCGTTTCTAAATAAGAATAATATGCGATTAATAGTAAATATTAGTTTAGTCACAATTTATTGCTGAGCAAAATCAATTTATTACCAAGTTGCCTGTAATTAGTATATACTGTAACTAACTTATTACCAACTCGTCTGGAATGAGTACACACTTAACTTTCTTAATTACGATTAAAGTTACTATAATTAAAATGGAGAACACAAGAAAAATACAACTTAATTCTGTCTGAAAATTGTAAAGACCATTCCTTAGTGTTTCGCTAACACGGTTCATATAATATTATTACTTATTGTAAACATTCATATTAGAAATAGGATACGTGCGGTAAATCTAATTAAACCTTCATACGAATTACCAATATCCGTTTGTACATTATTCAAAGTTGGTTAATTAATAATAACAGCGTATCTGTTATCTATATTTTACTTAATTATGTGATTCGGTTTGCTGTGTGGTCCCGGCATACAATGGACCATCCCTTCCTATCCCGTGGGTGTCGTAAGAGGCGAGTAAGTGAACTTAATGGTCGAGCGATAGGTAGTAGTGCCCCTCTTTAAATATCACCAAAATAACCGCAATTGCCAACCTGTTCGCAAGTGTTTTTTTTTTATACGACTTTGCATGGCAAACAAGCTGACGGCCCACCTGATGGAAAGTGGTAACCGTCGCCCATAGACATGAGCACTATCATGTACATAATCCACCCTTCAAACCGAAACACAGCCATGCAAACACAACTGCTTCACGGTTGAAACACGAAAGAGACAGAGGTACCCAAGCAATCGACTTTTGTACAAAGTCTCCCTCCGGTGAGTGTCCAATAGTTACTACGCTCGGCAGGTAAACTGACAATCTGACGTTTAGGCTTTGGTGATGTTTTAATGTTTTAAGTGGGACCCTGCTGCCAATCCTTTGACCATTTTGTAAGGCACTTGAAATTGCCACTGTCCTTGAAAGAACATTTTGCACGTTAATGTTAACAAAACATGTTTGAATTATACAAATCCTACAATGAATATACTGCAATGAATATGTACACATGTGTGCAAATAAATTTATCTTTATCATTAAATTTCGTTAGTCGCCTCTAACTACATGCACGGGATAAAAATGGGCAGCCTATTCTATGCCGGGTCCACACGGGAAATAATCTGCAAACGGTCGTAGAAATAATAGATAGATACTCTTTATTGTTTCCTCTAAAAGATTACAATAGTAATCTTATTATAAATATAAACAATTACAAGAAATAATCACAATGAGAAAACAAATAATTATGGTTAATTCCCTGTAAATTTATCTCGATGGGTTAACTGACTTGACTTCTTCCTCACCTATCATTCCTCACTGGTACCCCGTCAATGCCAACTTTATCCATTAAAAAAATCTGCCATCTCGAAAAATGGAAACTATATGAGAATACAGTTTATAATAAACTAAAAAAAAGAAGGCTTACCATAAGACTATCAGAGGTTTCAACTGCCAGATTCGGTGTCCACGAGTCGAAAGTTCAGTATCTGATAAAAAAAGAAACACACGTTAATTATGAATACATTACTAATTAATTTTAAAGTATTGTGTTCAATAAAAAAAAAAAAAAACTGATTTTAACCATCACTAGTATGGGACAATATGAAAAAGTAAATCACTGACTTGAGTTTTGTACAAAGTCTCCCTCTGGTAAAAAATAAAATAAAAAAGTTATGTAAAAGAAAAGAGGTTGTCTTTACCTATGATATTTGAAATAATTTACGGTGTAATCTATTTTCAACTATTAGAAGCTAGCCATGCAGTATTAAATTTTTGAAAATACATCATAATAGCAAACGCAAGCGCTTACCTTAAGTACCAGAGGGAGACTTTGTACAAAAGTCGATTGCTTGGGTACCTCTGTTCCATTCGTGTTTCAACCGTGAAGCAGCTATGCATGGCTGTATTTAGGTTTGAAGGGCGGGATATGGCGTGAATTTACTGGGTACAGAGGAATAACACCTGTCCTCAGGAATGGCAACGCATGGGGGGCATCATGGGTGAAACAGTATAGTCTGTTATGTCCAAGGTACTGCTCATGTCTATAGGCGACGGTTACCACTTTCCATCAGGTGGGCTGTCAGCTTGTTTGCCATTCTAAGTTGTATAAAAAAAAAAAATACATTACAGAAATACTACAAGGCATACACGATGTTTACGCTACAAGTTACATACTCCGGAGGTAGCGATATAAAAGCGGATTACAAGTAAATTGTTGTGGGAATTGTGTCTGGAACAATGTACAGGCATTTCTAACTTGTTTAGTTAGTGCCGAGTCGGAGGTAGACCAAGCGAATAAATCCTAAATCTTACTCTCTTACTGCAGGGGGGAATGCATTATTAGTATAACGGACTGCCAGTTCGACCTCCCTGCGGTCCCCTCTGGAAACCATCCTGTTGAATTCTAACAGATGTATTTATCACATTGGGCTAACTTTTCTAGTGCCCCGCCAGCTTATACTAATAGCGCAGGCGGGGTTACCATTCCATTATCATCCTCATGAGTCGTTTAATGATTACTTACTCCTTCATCGTCATCATTTCAGCTACTATCCGTCCACTGCTGGACATAATCGTCCCCCACAGACTGCCATAAAGAACGGTCCTAAACCACCTGCATCCACTGACTCCCTGCAATGCATTTCAGATCCTCACTCCATCTAGTGCGGGGTCGTTGCGCACTGCGCACTTACTCCTTAGTATAAATTAAAAAAAAAAAACCTCTCAGAGTCAGATAATGAATCATTAGGGACTGTTAACGGCAATTATTATATTCATCAATACGTCGTTTAATAATTTTAATTATCATTAACTAATATCTCATTAGCGTTAATTTAATGAAGGTAGAAGGAATTTTGTGTAATGTGTGTGTGTGTGTGTGGGAACACATTCTTAAATTGTTGCGTACATGCAATTACATGGCCAATTCTAAACTGGTTTTAATAATTATTTATTCTATCCCCTCTCAGAGTTTACTCTATGTTAATTTTGTCACCATTGAAACTGCGTTTTTTCATTACAAAGCAAAATTCAACTACTGGTAAAACCCCGCTTTGTGTGTGGGGGGGGGAAAGGGATTGTTAGTAATGGAGACTGAGAATCCCATTGCTAGCAATATACCCAACCAGGTCGACCTCCTCGCGGTTCCCCCTGGAAACTATTATGGTTAATTCCTGATGAATTCATCATGATGGGCTAACTGGCCTGTTTTCATTTCATCTATCACCCTTCACTGGTGCTCCGCCAGCGTATCCCGTTAGCGCAGGCGGGGTTACCATACTATTTTCACCCATCAAAAAAAAAAAAAAAAAAAAAAAAAAAAAAAAAAAAAAAAAAAAAAAAAAAAAAAAAAAAAAAAACCCTTTTTTGGTAGAGTTCCATCTATGTTCCGTAATTAACAGTTAATGGCTGATATGGCTAATAAAATTAGCTGGGTGGTCCCGGCATAGAATAAGCCATCCCTTACTTTCCCGTGAATGTCGTAAAAGACGACTAAGAGAGGACGAAAGATGGGCTGCAGCGTCCCTTTTAAAACACCTCCAAAGACTAACTGAGGTTGCCAATCCGCCTGCCAAGCGTGGCAACTACCGGCAAAATCGCTCAAAGAGGAGGCTTTTATTCAGCAGTGGACAGTTAAAATCTGGTGATGATGATTGTAACATAATTGTATTATTTTTAAAATTTCAATAAAATCCGCTACCAGTTCATCGCTCGGCCCCCGCCTTGAGAGTCACTGCAAGATTTTTCCTGTTAAACATAGATGTGCTTTTAAATTTCTACAGGGACTGGCTAGACCAAATTGATATAAATTAGGTTTACAACACGACAAATCTCACAGGACGCCGGCCTGAGGTACACGCTGCACAATATACTTAATCTATTGTACTTCACACGAGCCTACATTTTGTACGTTAGGTTAGAATCTTTTTTATTTGTTCTTTACAAATTATTTATTTTACCAGAGGGAGACTTTGTACAAATGTCGTTTGCTTGGGTACCTCTGACCCAGTCGTGTTTCTACCGTGAAGCAGTTGTGTTTGCATGGCTGTGTTTCGGTTTGAAAGGTAGGATATGGCAGTGAATTTACAGGGTACAGAGGAATAACATCTGAGTCCTCAGGAATGGCAACGCATGGGGGGTATCATGGGCGAAACAGTATACTCTGTTATGTCCATGGTACTGCTCATGTCTATAAGCGACGGTTAGCACTTTCCATCAGGTGGGCCGTCAGCTTGTTTGTCATTCTGAGTTGTATTAAAAATAAAAAAAAATATACAAACGGCTTCGTTCGCGTGATTAGGATATTATTCATTTATACACAATTTAACATGTCGATTTAACGGAACAAATAAAATAATAATAAATAGGACAAATATATATAAATAGATACTCTTTATTATTTCCTCCAAAAGATTACAATAGTAAACTTATTATAAATACAAACAATTACAAGACATAATCACAATGAGAAAACAATGGGCGACTTTATCGCTAAAAGCGATCTCTTCCATGCAACCGTTTTATGGAGTAATTATAATTTTTGTAATGAGTGAAAATGTAATGGTAATGCGCCTACGCTATCAATGTACGCTGGCGGGGCACCAGTGAAGAATTATAGGTGAGGATAAAAGCAGGTCATCATCAGCACGTCAGGTTCGATCATCGTGAAGAATTTCGTAAGGATAGAAGAAACTACGATGATTTCCATCAGGAACCGCGTGGAGGTCGACCTGTTATTAACAATCTTTTTCCCCCTACATTGAATATGTTAAGGCCGTGACTTTCTTCATGTAAACGAGATAAAAAGTAGACTATTCTATTAATTTTAGTTTTTATATATTTATATATTATATATGTTTTCGTCGTGTAGTGTCATCATTTTCTTTTCCGTTGGTCTCGTAAGAGGCGAATAAGGAAATTTAATTGTTAAAGGATGGGCAGTAACATCCCTCTTAAAATATCACTAAAAGCCTAACTGCGTTTGCCAACTCTAAGGGCAAGACTGCCCTTATGGGGGCGGGAAGATTTTTAATTTAGCGACTTGACATGTTGATTGACCGGAATAAATACCTATGCCCTTCTTCATATCAAACAGTAAGTGTACATTAAATTTCACGATGATTGGTTGAGCCGTTAAAGCGTTTAGAGGTAACAAACAAACAAACAAACTTTCACATTTGGAATATTAATAAGGATAATAACTTTTCAATACAAGCGTGGTGCAAAAGGCGGAGTGAATGCAAAATAGCATCACTTTACAGCCAGATTATATATATCTGGCTATAAAATCTGGATTATATATATATATGTAGGAAGATGATATATATATATATATATATATATATATATATATATATATATATATATATATATATATATATATAATATTACCATTTTAAATAATACACTAAAAAAACAAATACTTTTATTGAAGTAAATTTAATTATAACCATTTTTGAATAGTCAATTTTTATGAACCTACTGCCCTTTCAGAATGCAGTTATAGTTGAGAAAAACAGGCAAAAAAAAATTACATTAAAATATATTAACTAAAGTAAACTTTACAGTTTTATAAAAATATACGTGTATAAAAACTTTTTAAAAATTAATAGTGGTCACTCCAAAACAAAAAAAAAAGGAAAGAATGACTACACGAGTCCATACAAAATTATGTATACCCCTACCCCTATTATGATGATTGGCAAATTAAGGCAAATTTGTGGCAATTTATGAGGGCTATGTTCAACAGCGCATAATAAAAGGTTCAGTCGATTTTAGTTCCTCAAACCGTTACACATCCGGCAGGAGTTTCATGACTTTTACTATTTATATCCCTTGAGTATTCCTAAATCTGTTTTTGATTGAGAAAAAAATGTAAAAAAAAGCTTAAAAACCAGATATAAAAAAAATATTTTAATTTTAATAAAAGAAAAAATTTACGCGGGTGGGGTTACCATTCCATTACTTGTGAATAAAAAAAAAATAGAATAAAACGTCAGGAACGAAACAAAATAAATAATACATTACAAAAATGATTTCAATTAAACCATAAAATAACATAGTTCCAAACAATAAAATGTAATCTATTATTAAGTAGTAAAAATTAACAGCGACATTTGGTATTTTCTCCACTAAACACTTAACTGATTTAAGCAATTTACAGCAGGATGACAAACTTCGGCCGTTGATCACTTTTCCGATATCCTTCATTAGATATTGGCTGAATATTAGCTGTACAACGGTGGAGACCGCGGCGTCTATTAAGGTGAGGGTGGTTTGGGAAGTAGCTTAATTCTCGGTGGGAAATACGCAAATATGTATAGTAATAAGTAATAATAAATTTATTTCAAAATAAATGTTACAAACATTTTAAATATAGGCGAAACCCTGCTCCCTAAATAGGTAAATCCTGTATGTATGTATGTATCATAGATTATTATAAAGTGTCCCCATACAAATGTTTCATTAAAAACAGTTCAATTTTCTT